AAATGGCAAGGATATCAAAGCAGTCAATCCTAAAGGAAATCAACCCTGAATATTTATTGGAAGGACTGATTCTGAAACTCCCAGACTTTGGCCACCTGATTCGAAGAGTTGACCCAATGGAAAAGACTCTGATGCTAGGAAAGATTGAAGGTAGGAGGAAAAGGGGATGACAGAGGATGAGATGGTTACGTGGCATCATTGATGCAGTGGACATGAATTTGAGCAAGCTCTGGGAGATAGCGAAGGACAGGGAAGCCTGGTGTGCTATAGGCCATGGGATCACAAGAGTGGGACACGACTGAGCAACTAAACAACAACAATGTATATGGAGGGACAGGGAGGATTTCAGATACTCTCTTTTCCTTTGCTTTGAAACTAAAACTACTTTTTTAAAAAAAGGAAAAAAAAAGAAAGTCAATTTTAAAAAGATCTCAACTCTTACTCATGATTTCTCAAACCAGAATTCTTATTGTGGAGCCCTAAGGCCTGAAATTCTTAAAGCACTCTGTGATTCTGATCATCATCCTGGTTTGGAAATGACAGGACAAGATGCCATTGAAGATAAAAGTAATCAACTAAAAATTGTGAAAGGTTCAAGCAGAAATTATAATGAGGAAACTAGGGCAAGATAAAAGGCAAGGATTTAAGAAAAATGGATCCCCCAAAATCTCACTGTGCATTTTCATCCGTATCTGAGTCACGTTCAGAATGTGTATGCCAAGTGATCTTTCTCAAAGTTGTTAAGAGAAAAGATGGTACCAGTGCTATTGCTCCAAGGACCACACTTTAAGTAGCAAGGCTGCAGACTGTAAGCCTGTTGGTGGTGTTGTTCAGTCGCTCAGTCATGTCCAACTCTTTGCAGCCCCATGGACTGTAGCCCGCCAGGCTCCTCTGTCCATGGGATTTCCCAGGCAAGAATACTGGAGTGGGTTGCCATTTCCTCATCCAGGGGATCTTCCCGACCCGGAAGTCTAACCGCAGCTCCTGCACTGCAGGTTCTTTACCACTGAGCCACCTGGAAAGCTCAAGCCCATTGAGTACGGGTCTCCTCTCTCAAGTCACTTAACTATATACCTGCCACTGATCACAATTCTTGATGTATAGTGAGTGTTCACATAGTGAGTTTGTTGAATGATTGCTCTCCCTTCTCCAGGAAGAAAACCCTCTTCTGTTTAAGGCCTTTTGTTTCTGTTTTCCCTAAAATCCATGTGCACAAATATAATACATCCTTCCCAGAATTTATAAGAACGTACAGGAGGACAGCTTTTGCTAGTTTTTTGTTTTTTTTTTTTTTTGCTTTCCTTTCACTAATGATAAACTGCACAAGAGCAGGAGTTATATCATTGTCTGCATATTTCTCTGTACTCAGGACCATGTTCCGAACATAGAAGACACTCTGAAAAAGTCTGTTAAATGAATGATTTGGAAAGGCAATCACTGCTTTTTTATCCAACAAAGCTGTAATCAATCTTCCCCTGACACCCATTTCTCTAACCGTGTGTGTGATCATGCATTCCCAGGTGAGTGGAGAGGGAGAGGCATGTTGATGACAACAGAGGAGTGAGTGTCAGAGGGAACACATCCTGGAGCAGAAATTCGCAGCAGCTTCATCCTGGGATCAGACACTGGAGCTCCAAGGACCCAGCAGATGAGCAAATGTCTCCCCAGCAGTGGACGCAACACGTCAGCGGTTGTTATTTTCTGCTGGCATTCTTTGTCATGAAGAACAGACAGCTCCTCTGCCAGGCCAAAATCTGTCTGGCCATCTTCAAGGTCGTTGTACCTCCCAGATCTGGCTCCAAGTCTGGAGTCTGGCAAGTCCCGCATCTTAAAGTGGATTAGGTGGGCCCCAAGGAGAGCTCTTGCCCTGGCTGCATTCCGACACTTGTCCCTTAAGCCCTGGTGATGTTTCTTTGAGGACAGCCTCTTCTTTCATCCCTCCTGGGATCTGAGCCTGACCTTAGCCATGGACAATAATTCACACACAGCCACTACGCATACCTGTCCTGCCACACTGCTACAGTCACATGCTTTCCGCCATCATCACCTGAAGTCCATTCTGGTACGGAAGACGTTAACCTGTGGCCAAAGCCCAGCAGCAGAAATTGAGTTATAACTGTCAAAAACAGAATGAATGAATGAATGAATCTCTGCTAAGAGCATTTCAGTAATTATATGACATCTCACCTCTGTCTTCCCTCCATGAGTTTCTTAAAATTGCTTAAATTCATAACCCTTACCTGTTTAAAAATGGAGTCATATTGACAGGCTATGCAATCATTTTCCAGGGTTAATCATACAAATCAGACAAGATAACTGTACTCACAGGTCCTTCTCTAACTGAAGAGTTTTACCTCCCCAGGCTTTATCTCAAACAAGGTGGTTGGATGCTATCATTGTTTATAGAGAACAAAGAAAAGCAGTAGTGAAGGGAATGTGAACGTTCGTTTCCAAATCCAGTGTACAAAACCAGGGGATGAGCTGAAATTTTGCATCAAGAGAGGTGGACCGTCGTTAACAAACACTATTACTTATTCTGTTAATTATTAGGTTTTCATATGTCACTGCTTAATTCAGTGGCATGGCTGGTGGAATATGGAGCTGAGTGAGAGAGTGGCCAGAGAGGCTGTCTTTGTGTGTGTCTCCCCTCCCTCTCCTCTCTCCCCTACACTCACACACTTACAGAAATACACACAGTTATCTATATCTATCTCCATAGACGCAGAAATATAGCTAGATGTAAATATAGCTATAGACATGCAACTATATCCACGGATATATAATCTAGGTATCAGATATAGATGTCTAGGTGTAGATAGATATTTAAAACTTTATAGCAAAATTTTACAGCACTGGAAAAGGTACATTGGTGGGCAAGCAACCTGTTCAGCTCAACCTTGGCTTGCTGACATGACACCCCCATTGTTTCATACCACTCCAAAGGGTAGAAAGGGTATGGACTTAAAATTGATTCTCGAAACCTTTGTGAGATGTCTTCTTCAAAGAACCCATCACAGAGAAGCCAGGATCAGCCTCCACCAGGACCCGGGGAAGGGTCCTCACACACCAGCGTGTGGCGCCTCAAGAAACCAAAGTCTGAAAAAAAAAAAAAAGAAACCAAAGTCTGGGAGAGGCAAGACTCCCTAGACCCCTCCCCTCTGCTGGACCTCCAGAGACTCCACCTGAAAACAATTTCTTGAGACCCTCCCCATCTCCCCATTCCCAGCTTCCAACCAGAGTCGTGGAAAGTAGGAATTGGCAATGACTCCGGGGAATCGAGCCCCGCTTCCTGGAGGAGGGAGCGGGAGTGGCCGCGCCGCGCCCGCGTTGTCAGGCCGGGACCCCGCGGTGGCGCTGGCCCCGCGCCCAGAGCGCAGCCCGGCCCGCGGCTCCGGCGCGTCCCCTGCGCCCCACGCCCGCCGACTCGCGGGGCACTTTGCTCTGACGTCCGCCTCCCAGGCTCTGACGACCGGCCGCCCTTATAAAGGGGACAGTGGCCAATACTGGATCGATCGCCACTTGGCCGCGCCGAGCGCCCCGCGCCGCGCCCACACCTGTCAACTTCGCGCGCGCAGCGATTCTGGAGACTCGGGGTGCGGAGCCTCGGGAGGCGGACCCTCCTGGCCTGCCGCCCTGCGCCCCCACTACACGCCAGTGTCCGGTGCAGCCTCCGCCGAGAGGAGCCTGAACCCGCGGAGCGCTTCCCTGCGCGGCGGCCACTCCAGGTAGGAGTGCGTCTGGCCACCCTTCCGACGCGGCTCTGTGCCTCCCGCGGGGACGCCCGGCGGGTCGGGTCTCGAAGCCTGGGTCCTCGGGTGCGAGCGGCTGTGAAGTCGGGGTGCAGTGGGTGTCCGGGGGACGCCGCGGCCGAAGGAGGGACCCTGGGGCGCAGAAGGATCGGCCTGGAGCAGGATGGGGGAGACCTGCGGGTGGGGAAGGGAACAAGGGGTGCTAAAGCTGCAAAGGCAAAGCTCACCCCTCACTCGCCACTCGCGCTCCTTTCGCCTTCTCTGAGCCCAAGGGACGGAGGCTGGTTCTTTGGCCCAAGGTCTGTCTCCCATCTGCATGCACGGAGGTCTGGCTTCCCCAAAAACTTGTCTGTGCCAATTGTGGAGAATGGATAGCCACGGGCACGAGAGGAAGATACGAGAGAACAAGAATTCTAGAAATTAAAGGCATTAGAACTTGACGCGTCTCTTCTAAGGGTCTTGCTTTTAGTGCTTGTGATGCTCTGTTATGTTTCAGGCTTTTCTGTATTTTTAAGTCATTTCCCTGTGTGTGCTACTGAGGGAGCAGGGGAGAGAGGGAAGAAACTGGATGGGGAGGGTCGACGGAGGGAGACCCTCTAAACAGCACAACCGTTTAGTAGTTGCCATAACTTAATCCTCCCGCACTTGTTGAAAATTGGAGGCCCATGTGGTTTTGAAGTTGATCTTCCTAATTTTTTTCCCCAGATATTTGCATGTCAGGTTACTTTTGGAACCACTCCCTGAAGATGTGTGAAAGGAGGGATGGGATGATGATTGAATGAATGAATGATTATCCATGGGTTCTCAGAGTGAATCTTTATGATGCATCTACACTGCTGAACAATTCTGGACTGAATAGTACTTGGTTCCAAAGTAAATATAGACTTGCTTGTGAGTGTCTTCTTGCCCAAGTTACCGGGTTAAAACACAAGGTTAATTTTACATTGCAAGAATTTAATACAAAATGAGTACATTTCTTAAACAGCAAAACCCCCATTTTCTCTGTTTCTTCCAAACCCAAGACAAGGTTCAGTTGTTGAACAGAAATAGAGTGATGGAATGGAGGCTTGTTGACAGCCACAGGTGAACATGGGATTTCAATGCACTTCTTCTTTAAGTGGCCACCGCTCAGGAGCCAGCTGGTCTACCCGGGCTGCCTGTATTTGCTTGGCTGGCTTGTAAGGCATCTGTGTTTTCGCAGAAGTCTTAATGAAGTAGCTGCCGCGGCAGAGCCCAGAGCCCTCAGTGACAATGGATTTCCAGGTGGAAGGGCTGGTAGCCATCGTGGTGTTCTACCTTCTCATCTTGCTGGTTGGCATCTGGGCTGCCTGGAGGACCAAGAACAGTGGCAGTGCGGAGGAGCGTAGCGAGGCCATCATCGTGGGCGGCCGCGACATCGGGCTGCTGGTGGGCGGATTCACCATGACAGGTGGGTCCCCTCACACCCACCTTTGTGCCATCCCTGCCATAGCTCTTCAGGCGAACAAAGCCAACCTCCTTCTTTGTCCTTGAGGGAGTCTCTGTGTTCACTACTTATATACTTTTAAAATAGTTTCAACCCAGTAGCACTGGACCAAATGATGTTATTATCAGTTACTGGGCAGAGCATCAGTGAGAGAAATCTGGGCTCTGGGCAGCTGGGTGGGTGGAAGCAGTGAAAACAAAGGTGGGGGGGGGGGGAATGTGCAGAAGTGCCCGAGTCTCACAAGTTGTGTTTCTGTTCATCAATGTGATGCAGGCAGCATCTTCTTTTACTCCTTACTACAGGCATCAAGTTGTGACTGAGCTGTCTTAATGAATGCTAACTAGTCAGTGAACACTAACCAGTGATGGTTTTAAAACTAAATACGTCAATTTGGGGGCAGCCCAATTCCAAATTGATTGATGTCCTGTCTTGAAACCTTATTCTCCCATGTAGTGAAGTAATTTTACTCACAGGAAGACGATCACGTATTATGAATCCACGGATCTGAGGAAAAGGTTTGAGGAATACTGATATGAAAGGGAAAAATCAGGGTGTGTCTTAGTAAGAATCCTTCAGCCACCAACTGCAGCTGTCATCCATTCAAACCCCTCCATGCCAGAAGCCCCCAGAGTCTCTCCTCCTTCGCCCAAAGGTGGTTCTGATTAAGTGGTGGCTTATTTTTCTTTTCTATTCTTCTCGGTTGTTAATATCTACAAATAATACTGAAAAACAACAATTTAATATCATATCCATACTATCACTTGATACATATTCACTAACATCACACATTTCATTTTAGAGTTGTATTAGGTTTTTAAATATTATCAACATAATCCATACCAACAGGATTACTATGAGTGCCCAGTGGAGAAATATCCCACTGGAAACCATATCAGAATGATACCAAATTTTAGTCCTGAAGTGCTAGTTAAAAATGATTAACCCTGTATTTCAAAAAGTTTTCCAAACCAATGTGGGCAGCCTGCATCCCTGTTTGGCCGTTTGAAACCTACAGTGTCATAGAATAATTGATTGATGGTCGATTCTGCCTCTCAGATATTCACATTTTATTTGTTTAACTCTTTGCCAGTCATACATGGTTTTGTTCGATCTTCATGACAGCGCTCAGAAGGGCTCTGGGCTACGTCAGAACCCAGACTTGTGTGGTTAGTAAGGACCAGAGCCAGGTCTGGCAGCCACTCAGTGAACCACACCCAGCCTCTCCCCACTTCTCCATAAAGATACCCAGGGTGAAAAGAGCCCTCTTTTACCCTGTTTCTCATTTTTTCTGCATAAACACACATACAGAAAAAAAAATGTGTTTTACAAAATATTTTCTATGATGCATAATAAACAAAACCAGAAAAAAATACAAAAACATGAAGACTAAGAATCACCCACTTACCTATCACCTGCAGATGTTTACTGAAATGTTGGTGCAGATTTTCTTGGTTTTTTTTCTTATTATCCAGCTATTGATGAACAATACAGGCACCTTTGTGTCTTCATCTTCAGTTTTCATTAGAGCACAAACATCTCTTCTTTCCTCTAAAGACCCACATGGGATACTGGTATCTGAAGTGAATTAAAGCATTGTAATTATATCTCCCTCAGATTTCTCATTTGACAAAGAAAATAAGAAAAAAAGCAAAATAAAATGACAGTTGTTGATTTCACTCAAATGGTTGAAAAGAATAAATGAACTGTTGCATACTAAAGTATTTTGTTAATTGTAAATTATGGTAACTTTCTACTACTCTAATTAAATAATACATTAATTATATTCATAAGGGTAATATCTCAGAATTTGTTCTTTTATCATTTAGAGTGATTTTAATCTAATGGGCTGTTAAACTATATTGAAAAAATTTGAATTATGATATTTCTTATAACGCGTCCTGCTTGAACTTAGCTTTTAAAGATTTTTTTCTCAGAACCAAACAGAGCCTTGATCAATATCATAGTTCAATTAAAATCTGAACCATATTATCTAAACTTGTCAGATTCACTGATTGTGTTATTTGATAAGGAATAAAAATTGAAAATAAAAATGCATATGATTTAAAAGAATCCTTGTTCTCAAGAATCTGATGTGAAAATATACAAACATGCAAATGACCATATTGATAACAATGGAGGGACTTTAATTACAAAAAAGTACCCAAGTCCACCTGTCTATATTATAGTACTTTAATACTATAGTTTGTAATTATGATATTTTAACTCAAGCACCAGTTTTCTTTCTGGAGATGGAGAGGATACCTACACAATGAAAAATGATCACTAACAAATGTTGTGCTAATAAGACCTAATAAGATCACTAATAAGACCATCAGGTATTTACTTAACGTGACAAAACATTCCTTGTGTGGTGTTAGGAGTCGCAGATGCCTGACAGGAAGGTGAGGTCTCAGGGGCTGTGCTGTGAGAAGTCATTGTCTTGGTTACTTGCCAGTTGTGGGGAGGTGGGGAGGAAAGTCTCTAAAATTTCACCAGGTTTAGGATAAGAAAAGCACATCATAACATTTGTTATTGATCAACACCATGGAAAAGCTGCTGTGAAGATGGGGTGGCTGCTAAATATCATTTGTCCACTTGAGGACTTTGTGTATAAACTCTCCATTTGTGTATATAAAGTTCCTTTGCAGGAAGGTCTTTTCAGGTTGACCTTTTAAAAATTGGATCAATCACTGAAGGCTCTCTCCCCTTTGCTTTGGGTTTGGATTAAATGCCAGATAAATTTTGGCAAGAAACACTTGTCTTTGGCAGTTTCATAAACAAATTAGTTTTACGAACATTCTAACTGTGAAATTTCAGAGAATTTTTCAGAGTCAAATTTTACTCCCCATTGCAGCCCAGAATTCAGTCTCATATTTGGTAAGCTTCGTGCCAGCCTCTATTTCTCATAACTTTACAGCAGTTACACCTAGGGATTATTGTAAATAGTTTGACAATACTCTTCAAAGGGTAAAAACTGCCAAAATTAGACTGTTCCATTAACTTTAGCATTTCAGCAAAAATCAACTACTACAGTTCTTCTCAGAGAAAATGATAGAGTTTATAGATCATTTTGGACCCAAAGTTGTTTAATCAAAACATGTTTTTGTTGATTCTATGGCCTCCCTTCTTCAGCTGTTGTGCTACAAAAATGTTATTAAATAATATCTGAAGAAGACATAGTTCTTCTTATTCTTTATGAAATATCAAATGTCTGCCTGAAAGACCCAGATTAGAACAAAGACTTGCAAATGGGCATACAGTCAATATTTTAATTCTCCTGAAGGCTGACCTGAGCCCTAAGTGTAGGTCAGGTCCTTGGGGAGACAGAGAAGGAAAAAGCAATTTAAGCTCAATTACATCACCCGGCACCCTCCTCCCTCCACTTGCTTAACAGTGTAAGGTAGTAAGTACAACTGCATTATCATTTGGAATAGATTTGCCAAAACCCTATGCACCCAGCATGTTTGTGAAGTGACTCTGTTAATGGAAAGCACCCACACCCACAACCACGCATGCATACGTGCACACACACACACTTCACTCCTTGAAGACAATAGTCATGATCAATGAGGAAAAATCAATACAATTAAAATAAAAAGCCCTTGAAATCAAGACACTTGATTCCATATTATGGAAGCTAGGGGGAGAGTTACAGCATTATTAAGAATAGAAGCAGTCTTGAAATATATCACATATGATCTCAGACTTTGTGATATTATAATACCTGGATTTAGAAAATATCCAGGGCAACACTGTTCAGTGGAAATATGATGTAAGCCACAAATGTAATCTTCAATTTTCTACATATCGCTTTTTAAAAAGCACAAAAAAATAGGTGAATTAACTTAAATAATAGAATTACTTAACTCAGTATGTTAAGAATGTTTTAGTTTTGTTGTGTAACCAGTACAAAAAAAATTGAGAAGTCTTAATACTTATTTTTCCATGATGAGTCTTAGAAATCCAAAGTGCAGTTTTCACTCTTTTATCACTTCCACCCAGACCAGCCATGTCTCTGTTGGCAGTCCCACAGGCCTCTCGGGGCTCAGGGGTGCCCTGTAGGGCCGAGCGGGTCTCAGGGACAGCAGGCCTGACACATCTCCCCTTCGCTTCTCATCCTGTTTCAGCCACCTGGGTTGGAGGAGGCTACATCAACGGGACAGCTGAGGCCGTGTATGTTCCAGATTACGGCTTGGCATGGGCTCAGGCACCCATTGGATATTCTCTTAGTCTGATTTTAGGTAAGAAAAGCTTTATACCTGAGTGACTCAGTCAGTAAAGCATAAAGATTAGGAGTATAAATAGCAACCGAAAGAAAAAGTCAAACAGCATGACTATTGTGGGAAATGCCACCTGAAATCCCACTGAAGTCACTGTTATCAGAAAGTGTACAAATGTGTAGCTGACTGGATCTCTTGATTATGGAATATGTAGAAAAAATTCCCTTGATCATTTTGCAATCAGCACAGTGAATTTCTTAGTGTAATGATGTTATTTATTTCCAAAATAGTGTGGACATATCATTAAAAATGAATCAATTTGAATTGTACCTGAATATCTTGTTATAAATCAAACTAATAAAAGGTCAAGAATATTATTTAACACAGTTCCTTTTTTTTTCTTTTTCTTTTTTTTTTTGCTCTTAGAATACTTTTGTTGGATCTTGTGCTTAATCAAATGAATGCCCTGCTGGGGGGTAATACAGGTGCATAGACATTTAAGGGAGTGCTGAGCTGGTCCACGTTTTTCAGTCCACATGATTTGGCCATGCTATATGTACAGCCTTGGATGCCTACAATGGTAGTTGTGTTAAGGAATTTCCACTTTATTGCTAAATATTTCTTGGTCCTGTACTCGCAGGATTTTGCAGACTGATTCCTCAACACATAGAAGTATTCTAAAAAATTCATTTCCCTTGAGAAATTATACACAGTAAAAGGTTAGCAAAGACTTGTATATTGCAGGTTTTCAAGTTTCTCTTTAAAGCTTGTTTGAATTTCCTCTAGGTGGTCTATTCTTTGCAAAACCCATGCGTTCCAAGGGCTACGTGACCATGCTAGACCCCTTCCAGCAGATCTACGGGAAGCGCATGGGTGGGCTTCTGTTCATCCCTGCACTGATGGGAGAGATGTTCTGGGCGGCAGCCATCTTCTCAGCCTTAGGTGAGAACCAACGAAACATCCTTCTGCAGGCAGGGAGCTTCCCAGGTGGTACTAGTGGTAGAGAACCGACCTGCCAATGCAGGAGACATGGGTTCAATCCCTGGGTCAGGAAGATACTTTGGAGGAGGAAATGGAACCCACTTTAGTATTCTTGCCTGGAAAATCCCATACACAGAGGAGTCTGGTGGGGTATAGTCCATAGGGTTGCAAAGAGTTAAACACAATTGAAGTGACTTAGCACGCATACACCCTCTGGTTGAAAAAGCATTAGATACACAACTTTACTATCTTCAGCCACAGGCCCCAGCTTACCTAGATTAACACCACCACCCTGCTGCTTACAAGGCCACCGTTCTCCCATAATCTTCACACAGTAGATTAGATTGAGTCTGATCACACCCCTTTACTGCTTAAAACTAGACCTTTAAACTGGGCTGAAAAGCTCCTTTTGGACTCTTCCTTCTCCCTTCCTCCAGAACTTTGCAAGCTCAGTGAACCCTCCTTAGGATGCACAGCGCCCACTTTCCTTTCAAACCAACCAGAAAGAGACTTCAAATCTTCTACAGATGTCACCTCCTCCAGGCAGTCATCCTGAACTTGCCAGGTGCCTTTCCTCTGGGATTCTGTAGGAACCAGAAATTTTGTTTTCATTGGATTTATTATTTTGTATTTACATGGCTATTTACCTATTTCCCAGTTTCCAAACGTTCACAAAAGGAATTATGAATTTCTTGAAGGCAGGGCCTGCGTCTTATTAACATTTATCGTCCCATCACACATGAATGAATGAACGAATCACCCATACCTACACTTTCTTCAAAGGAGAAAAAGGAAAACAATAGTCTTTCCTTTCTCAATGAATCCCATTTCATCCAGAGTGTTGGAGTGTAGACGTATTCAGGGATTTGAAAAATGCACTTAGACTCTTTGTGGTCTAACTTACTTCCAAGATCCACCCATGCTAAGAACAACCTGTCCTTGAGTTCTCAGCCCACTCATAAGACCTAGAAAGTGAGAGAGTTCAGTGGGACTGTGGACGAGCTTCAGGCTCAGCACCCTCCCTTTTCATCCAGAATAAGTCTAAGCTGTCCCACTGAATGTTGAGTTCCTTCCTGAAGACTCACAGAGTTGGGCCTTCCTTGTCTTTCCTCTATGAGCTGTGTCTTTGTGTGACATCCAGGACACTGTCATCTCCACCTCCTCTTACAAATAGAATCAATGGGCTTACATCTACAGTCAGGCTTTAAGTGGCCCAAAGAAAAGTCAGATGACATGAATCTCCTTCTGTGTTATGCATTAGACCACAGGCTACTCTTCTAGTTTCAGGGTTGTCATCAGATTTGGTCTCTGTAACATCAGATAATATTTTACACCACTCTTCACCCCTTTCTCTCTAGACTGCTGTATAATTGTATCTTATTTTGGTGGTCTCCAACTGTCAGATGAAGGAATGACTTAATGTAGAAAAGAAGTGAATTTAATAGGTAAATAATTTTCACTGTAATAACTTAATGAAAATATTGCACTTTCCTGGCACTGAGTGGTCATGCTCCACAACCACCCCTGCCCTATCCTAATGAAATTTTACATAAACACACAGCTCCCTTCCCACCTTTCTCTCAGTAGCAATGGTAGTTTATTTGTCATTGGTTTCAAAGCCAGAAAATTGTGGTTTTAAGAACAAACTGCCTGCTGAGATATCAAAAAAGGAGTGGGCTGAATATCTAACAGAATACAAAATGTTCACTCTCACTGAATAAGGATCAATTCATGTAACAGAGCCCTAAAGGGAGAATAGAATGAAAACCTATTATTTCTAAAGTACTTTGGAAATATAAATCATAATAGCTAAACTCTGAACTTTGCTGCAATTAGTTATTTTAATAAGTATGTGTCTACATCTGTGTGTATGTCAACATACATGTAAAATATGTTAATGTCTCTCTCTTTACATACACATGTATCAAAGAACTTTTATGAAAACATGACTGCTATTCTTGAAATATATGCTCTAGTTTTTAAAAATGTGTATTTCAATTTAACAGCTCTGTTTTCTTCAAAAATAATAGTTGAATATACTTCAAAATTAGTGTTTATTAGAAATAAGCTCAGGACAAGATATTTTACCACCTTACTATGAATGTGCATAGTTCACCTGTAAAACTTAGGAGTATCTCAAACGGTCTTCTCAATATATATAGACAACATCCTTAAGCTTCTTAAAGAAATGTGTATTAACATAACAGATCAAATTCAGAGAATTTTTATAACTTTATTTGCAGTATATTTATTTTTCTGGCTGCATGAGAAAATTAATATTTCACAGCAGCTCCAGAATCTAGGTTTGGTTTTACTCACTCAAATGATGGAATGATTTAGAAAATAGTTTAGAGAAAAAAATTCATTCCAAGTTTAATAGTGAAATGAAAGTCAGTGGCTTCTTTAAAGCCACTGAGTTACTGCCAAATGACAGCTTTTACTAGAATGGCAACCCACTCCTGTTGTTCTTGCCTGCAGGATCCCATGGACAGAGGAGCCTGGCAGGCTACAGTCTATGGGGTCTCAAAGAGTTGGACACGACTGAAGTAACTTGAAAGTGAAAACTGAAAATGAAGTCGCTCAGTCATGTCCAACTCTTTGCAACCCCATAGACTATAGCCCACCAGGTTCCTCCATCCATGGAATTTTCCAGGCAAGAGTACTGGAGTGGGTTGCCATATCCTTCTCCAGGGGTCGAACCTGGGTCTCCCGCATTGTAGGCAGACGCTTTTACCGTCTAAGCCACCACACACTAAACCCTACATCTTTAGACTCCTCATCCAGTGATCTTTCTTTTGTAACATGCAGCCTCCCTACCTTTGGAGGTGTAGGATTAATAGAAATTTCACCAGAGGGTGGAAAATTAAACAGTATTCAAAAGAAGTAGAGTAATAATTGAACTTTTCATAATTCATGGGATGTAACTTTAAAATATTGTTATTACAGTAGAGAGCTAGATCAAAGGTGAATGGCAAAGAATTGCAACTAAAGTTTCAACATGAAGTGAATAGTCTCAGGAGAAAAGAAAATAACTTGTTAAATATCCATACAACAATAAGTCAGGTGTCCAAAGTCACTTGTAAATAACCAACTTCTTTCCTTTGTCTTCTGCTCCCAATTCTTTACTAAGATTTTCCTTTTCTCAATTGGTTTTTACTAAAGAAAATAATTTAATTTTGATACCAACCCATGGGCTTCCCTTGTGGTGCAGCTGGTAAAGAATCTGCCTGCAATGCAGCAGACCTGAGTTTGATTCCTGCGTTGGGAAGATCCCATGGAGAAGGGAAAGGTTACCCACTACAGTATTCTGGCCTAGAGAATTACATGGACTGTATAGTCCATGGGGTCGCAAAGAGTCAGACATGACTGAGTGACTTACACTTTCACTAAACCAAAACACTAAGAAGAAGATTCTTTTGAAAAATATTTTGCACTGTTATCTCAGATCAAAATATCTCATACTGCTCTTTAGATAATGGATTTTCATCTCAGATAGGCTGCATATGCTATTAGCATGCAATTGAGAAGTGAGGATAGAATGTAAGTTTGCAGTTAATGACTCAAAGGAATCACAAATGTGTTGCATATACATTAGCGTGAGAGGAATATCATTACTACATTTAATAATACAAAATATAAACTATATCACTCTTGAGAACAACAGGAAAGGGTGTATAGAACAACAAGTGAATGCTGAACTGACAGTGCAAAACTCCACAGTGGTCCAGCTATCCATACCATGATATTAATATTCTATTAGAAATGTAGACATCAGCAAACACAATAAACGAAGTCATAAAGTTAGAAAAGCGTAGATTGATTTCTAAAGCGGGTTTACAATTTTGATGAACTTATAGTGATGAAAATCACTGTAAAACATGATGCTTGCTGATACTGAGTTGCATGAGCTGTTTGTATATTTTGGATATTAATCCATTGTCAGTTGCTTTGTTTTCAAATACTTTCCCCCATTCTGAGGTTGTCTTGTTGTCTTGTTGTGGTTTCCTTTGCTGTGCAAAGACTTTTAATATCAATAGATCCCATTTATTTATATTTGTTCTTATTTTCATTACTTTAGGAGGTGAGTCAAAAGGATCTTGCAGCAATTTATGTCAGAGAGTGTTCTGATTCTATTTTCCTCTAGGAGTTTATAGTGTCCGGCCTGGGAAGCCAATAAGAACCTACGACAGAGCACAGGGAACTCTACTCCGTGCTCTGTGGTGACCTAAATGGGAAGGAAATCCAAAAAGGGGGATATTTGTATACACATAGCTGACTCACTGCGCTGCAGAGCAGAAAATAACACAAAATAGTAAAGCAACTATAATAAAAAAAATTTTTTTATGGGAATATAAAAACCCTTGATGCTAAATCTATGACTCTTCAGTACATTTGTATCCTAGGAACAAGATTGGAATGCTGCAGGAAATGAATAAAATAAAAGTAATCTTCCATAAAGTTGAAAAAGTTGGAAAGTGCAATTTTATTACCAATTTTATTATTTTCTCCTATGAATTTATTTCAAACCCTGGTACCTTAGACCATGTGTTATCTAATAAAAGGTGACAGAGGTCAGAGTTAATGCAAAAGATCAAATCAATGCTAATTGTAAAATGAGAAGCTGGGTGGTTATGCTCATCATAAAGGCTTGCTTTTCTCATGGATGTGAGTAAATACACTGCATGTGTTCAATGAAGTCAGAGTTTCAGGCAGTCGGTGGAATGATTGCAGGACCTTATAGTAGTGTTCAGTTCAGTTTATGTCATGGAATTCTGTAATCAAGTCATGAGTTTCAGGTTGCCTCATAAATAAGTGAGCAAAGCACTAATTTCAGAAAGAAAGAACATTTTAGAATGTGTATATGTGTATATAAACACAGATGTGTACAGGCACACTCAGGTTACTGAGAAGGAAGAGCTGGACTGTGGAACTTCACCTGGGCTGTTCCCATCCCATCCCTGCAGGAGCCACCATCAGCGTGATCATCAGGGCCAGTGTGCACATGTCTGTCATCGTCTCAGCACTAATCGCCACCCTGTACACCCTGGTGGGTGGTCTTTACTCTGTGGCCTACACAGATGTCGTTCAGCTCTTTTGCATTTTCGTGGGACTGGTGAGTAGCGCCATTCACAGACTTCCTTCTTCCTTTCATCCTCCCTCCTGCCTCCCTCCATCCTTCCTTCCATCCATCCTCCCTCCCTTCTTCCTTCATTTCTCCTTTTGTAAGAGCTGACATGGTATTTCAACTAACTCAGCAAAAACTAATAGACGTCCTACTTCCCCATCATGACTAACGCACAGTAAGTCATACAGAATTGGAAATTTCGCATTTCTCTGTGCATTACTTGGATGAAAAACTCTAATCACATTGTGAGATTTTGACAGAAAAGTGCCCTCAGTTAACTCTTAGGAAGGTCTGGGGGTTCCTTCCCTTCACGCTGACATTTGATGGAAACACGTGTGATCTTCCTTCAAGAACTTCTGTCAGAGTTAAAACTTAAACCTTGACCCTGATCTGTGTTTGCCTCTTAACCTTTCCAGACATTAGTTTTGGTTATGCCATGAAACTGCTCCTAGGCTATAGAAATTATTTTCAGCCAAATCTTCCCAGTCACTTTAAGGAGTGGATATCTTCTAATTCTAAGAAAATACATGTTTTATATATATATATAATATATATATATATTAACATATATTCATATGTTTTGCATAAACATATGTAAAGTTCTTGAATTCAGTGTTTTCTTCCCGAAGGTTTTGCAGTCAATGTGATACAGCATAATTAGCTCAGAAGCTGACAACATGTTACTCTAACTTTTCTAAATCAGTGTTCCACGGTGTCCACAGAGAACATGCTTCCAGGTCCTCCCCTGAACAAGAGGAATGACCAAGCTGTGCCATCTATGAGAAAAAAAAAAAACTAATACATGAAATCTTGCATGTCCCAGATAGTCACACTAACGCTTTCACGAACTCTGGTTGCAGTGGATCAGCGTGCCGTTCGCACTGTCCAACTCTGCGGTTGCTGACATTGGCTTCACGGCCCTGCACACCAAGTACCAGAAGCCCTGGCTGGGGACCATCGAGCCATTTGAAATCTACACGTGGCTTGACAGCTTTCTGTTGTTGGTAAGTGACACACGTGTCCATCCTCATCTCCGTGCTCATCACCCTTGCTCCACCTTCCCATCAGAGCTTCTGTTCATCAGTGGAGGCCAGATTGTACCTGACCTACAAACCTTGATGACCTATGTGTCCAGAGACATAGGTATGTAAATTATATATGTCAGTTCATACAGTCATTGAAACTACTGATGAAATATTTATCAACATGGAAGATGTTAATGATAGATTGATTCACAGGTTGCAAAACAAAGGGAAAAGTTTTGGAAGCACATAGAGTTGAGGCATGGGATTATGAATTTTAGAATTTCTCCTTGTTTTATTTTATTTTATTTTTGCTTTTGAGCTTGTTCAGTTCAGTTCAGTCGCTCAGTCATGTCTGACTCTTTGCGACCCCATGAACCGCAACACGCCAGGCCTCCCTGCCCATCAACAACTCCTGGAGTTTACCCAAACTCATGTCCATTGAGTTGGTGATGCCATCTAACCATCTTGTCCTCTGTCGTCCCCTTCTCATCCTGCCTTCAATCTTTTTCAACATCAGGGTCTTTTCAAATGAGTCAGCTCTTCTCATCAAGTGGCCAAAGTATTGGAGTTTCAGCTTCAACATCAGTCCTTCCAATGAACACCCAGGACTGATCTCCTTTAGGATGGACTGATTAGATCTCCTTACAGTCCCAGGGACTCTCAAGAGTCTTCTCCAACACCACAGTTCAAAAGCATCAATTCTTCAGCACTCAACTTTCTTTGTATCCCAACTCTCACATCCATAAATGACTACTAGAAAAACCATAGCCTTGACTAGATGGATCTTTGTTGACAAAGTAATGTCTCTGTTTTTTAATATGCTGTCTAGGTTGGTCATAACTTTCCTTCCAAGGAATAAGCGTCTTTTAATTTCATGGCTGCAATCACCATCTGCAGTGATTTTGGAGCCCAAAAAAATAAAGTCAGCCACTGTTTCCACTGTTTCCCCATCTATTTCCCATGAAGTGATGGGACCAGATGCCATGATCTTAGTTTTCTGAATGTTGAGCTTTAAGCCAACTTTTTGAGCTTGTATGGCTTTTATAAGAAGGAAATTGTTCTGGAGCCAATATGTGAGATACTGATAAACAAACAGATATCCCAGGATTTGGAGCCAATGAGAAAGACAGTCGAAGAAGCAACTTCAGTACATTGTGATCTGGGAAGTTCCCTCATCAATTCACTCACTCACATGATAAATATTTACTGAACACTGACTCTATGTCAGTTAGAGAATTGTCCAGTCTCCTCTCTAGCCACCCCCACACACCCTGACCTCTGCTTATACCAAATACATGGTGGTCTTATGGCTGCCTCTTGGTTTCTTTCTTTTTCATGTTGGATTATTTCCTAAGAACTTTCCTCCCTCCATCTCCACCCACTGACACCCCTTGACGTCCAAGGATTGACTCGAGTACCATTTCCATGGGCTTCCCTGTTTAAGGAAGTCTTCCTCTCACCATTCCATCTCCCTCTGTTACCCCCAGATGATTAGTTCTTTCTCATTATTGTTCCCATAGTGCCTCTTTAGAGCATCAACAAATTACATTGCAGTTCAATGTCTCCAATTTTTTTATAATATATTCTCAAATAAGAATGTTAAGCACAACCCCAATGTAGGCATAGGCTGCTTATACGTACTGTACTACACATTTTGTAAATCACCTAATAAAACAACAATCTCACAGTTACGTACAAGGTAGAAATGAGTATAAAAAGAATTTCTAGTATCTTCTGTATATTAGAAAATACCTCAATGCACTAGTTCTCCCATCAGACAGTGATCTCAAGAGTAGAAACCACTTTTCACTCATCTTTGGGCTCCAAAACCATTCCATTGCCTGGCACATGACTGGGATCCGGAAATATTCATTGGTTGTTTTGACTCAAATTAAACTTCATGGTTTCAGAATATTAATGTTTTTGAGACAATTTTGTGGTGGTTAGAACTTCCAGATGAGAACAAATTTAAGATTTCTGGGTAGTTTTAACACAGCTTAAAGTGGGTAAGTTAAGGAAAAGAAAATCTTGTGCTATATAATTATGAGAGAAAAGAACTTGAGGAAGTCTGCAGAGTTGAAACTGTGACAATGACAACAGTGAACACGAGTGGCATGTAGAACCATTTTCTGTGCTTCAGAGTCTTGCTTGTCACTATTCTGAATGTGATTATAAAAAAAAAAAATCTCATTTTAAAAATACCCAATGAGCACATATACACTCCCATGTGTAAAACAGACAGCTCGTGGGGAGAGTCTGTACAGCACAGGGAGCCCAGCCTTGTGCTCTGTGATGACCTAGAGGGGTGGGATGTCAAGGAGAGGAAGGCTGAGGAAGGAGGGGATATATGTATGCATATAGCTGATTCACGTTTTTGTAGAGCAGGAACCAACCCAACATGGCAAAGCAATTTTCCCCCAATTTTAAAAGATCTTTTAAAAATTTATAATAAAAATAAAACAGGAAATTAAAAAAAAATAAAAACAACTAATAGATGCTATTTGCCTCCATTCATCCTGGGTCCCCATGGCTCCCATGCAGATGCTGGGTGGAATCCCGTGGCAAGCCTACTTCCAGAGGGTCCTGTCTTCATCCTCCGCCACCTACGCTCAGGTGCTGTCTTTCCTGGCAGCTTTCGGGTGCCTGGTGATGGCTCTGCCAGCCGTGCTCATTGGAGCCATTGGCGCATCAACAGGTAAACCTCTGGCAGCTTCACTTATTGACTCACTCAGGCTTCACCCAAGTCACCAGCGAGCACCCAGCTGCCCTCCCTTCCCCACTTTCCCCATTACCCCCATCGTGTATCTGCCTTTGTTATATAAGACGTCAACAAATCGTCTTATAGTCCAGACATTGTTTGACTGCTCCCCTCACCAATAAGACATTTGTGAGCAGGCCCCAGCACCACTGTTGTGATATTTATCAACTGTGTATCTGTGATCTTGTCAGCCATGGTTCTCAACCAACGTGCACACTGTCATCATCCAGGGAGGTGGAGGGACTCAAAAATACTCGTTTCTATTCTACTCTGCAGAGATTTTCTTTTAGTGACCTAAGACAGAGCCAGAGATCGGTGTTATTAAAAGTCCCTTTGGTAAGTCAAAGCTGAGAACCAGTTAGTGGAAGCTTCTATGTAGCACAAGGAGCTCAGCTCTGTGCTCTGTGATGACCTAGAGGAGTGGGATGCAGGGGCAGGGGGATGTGGTTCGAGAGGGAGTCTCAAGAAAGGGTGGGGAGATATGTATACGTCGGGTTGATTCATGCTGTTGTGCAGCATAAACTAACACAACATTGTCAAGCAATTATACTCCAATTTTTTTTTTAATGGAAAAAAAAGTAGAGAACCACTGACTCAGAAGTTGACCTGCCATCACCGTAACCACCCAAGGATCACTTTGAACTTGAGGCTTCAGTTTACATTTTCAATAGTTTGTTAATTAAAGGTTTCCTTTCTTGGAGAAATCAATTGTAAGTAAAGATAAACTAAAACACTTAAGGCACTTAGAGAATATCTTACTCAAAATTGGTAAAAAGAGTTTTATGACTTGCTTACCTCCCATTTAGCCTCTATCCTGAACATTTTTTAAGTTTCGTCCTTAATTTGATTGCACTTACTAATTACTCCTGATCCTTGGGTATTATTTCTGGTCCCATAATATTCCAGTTAATGCTATAAAACTGGCCACATAAAAGCATGACTTTGAACAATTGTAATAGAAAATGAGGGAAGGAAAAATGGTAGGATCCAAGGAAAACCACCCCTATATGGTCCTATAATCGTGACATTAATGTTCAACAAATAAAAAAGAAGCTATACTAAACAACTGTTAAAGCTTCTGCTGTATTCTTCTTACATACTAGTATAACTAAACAGTAAAGATTTATATGCAAAGATAAGCTTATATTTCAAGTTCTTTTACCACAGTCCAAAACCTGCCTGAAAATTTCACCTCCATACTTGCACTTTTTATTCAATAAAAAGGGACTGTCTTTGATCCATTCATGTTTATTTCTAATAAGTGAAATTCAATGCAAGAAAGAATTTATTCAAGAGAAAAATAATGCCAAGGAAGCTCCCACCACAAGGCTTTATCCAGGAAGAGAATGGGTGAGAAGAGGCCCACTGTTGTCTTTATCCACTTATGTGTATAACTGAGCGATGAAACACTATGTGTTCTCTCACATCTCCATGTGGTTGGAGGAACCCTCGAGGCTTCAGCTTGAGAATACTTATTTTCAATGAGTCTGTGCCAGATAACACCATTCTAACACTGCAGAAGAGAAATTTGTATTAAAAAATCTCACACCACCATATTCTGTGCAGGTCCTGTGGATAAGACTAAGTGTAACCAAAACCCATTAGATACCAGAATATAGGAGACAATGTCACTGGACCGATACATGGACTTGCCACCTAATTAAACTAACATATCCCACTGGACTAACTAGATTTCTGACCGATTAGACTAGGTCATATGTTCTGGATTTATTTCAAAAGCTACCTAGTAAATAGAATGACTCCAGACGGATGGATAGATGGCTCTTTGGCTGTGTTTGTTGTTTCTATCAACAGCCTGGAACCAGACTGCATACGGGCCTCTTGCTCCCAGGGAAAAACAGGAGGCAGACATGATCTTGCCGATTGTCCTCAAGTATCTCTGCCCCGTGTACATTTCTTACTTTGGTCTTGGAGCCGTTTCTGCTGCTGTCATGTCCTCAGCAGATTCTTCCATCTTGTCAGCAAGTTCGATGTTTGCTCGCAACATCTACCAGCTTTCATTCAGACAAAATGTAAGAATAGTTATATTTTCTTTAACATTACATTGTTGTTATTGTTCTCATCCTTGCACTTACTGTGTAGGTATTATTCTATATCATTAATAGTCTTTGTGAAAATCTGACCCTACTTTGATTCAGCACACACGGTTAAATGATGATACACTTTATTTATGTTGTATATGAAGGTCCTTCATACATGTTATATATGAAGGCTTCCCTGGTTGCTCAGACAGTAAAGAATCTGCCTGCAATACAGAAGACCAGACTGTATCCCAGGGTCGAGCAGATCCTCTGGAGAAGGAAATGGCCACCCACTTCAGCATTCTTGCCTGGAGAAGTCCATGGACAAAGGAGCCTGGTGACTATAGCCCATAGGGTGGCAAAGAGTCGAACATAACTGAGTGACTAATACACACATGAAGGTTTTTAATGCATGCTATTATTCACTCTACTACTGACAGACATGCATCAGTATAACTATTTCCCAAGAAGTACAGTCATGTTGCAATAATTTAAATGTCTTCTCTTTCTAATAAAGGAGTAACAAAACCTAAAATATCTTAGAAAACTTTGAGTTTAAATACAGTAAGAAACTCAGGAAAACATAGTGAGTCATTATTTCATAGGTATCGGTGTCATGCTTGTTTTGCTCTTCACTTGAACCCCAAGTCCTCCTTTGTCAGGAAATAGCCTCTCAATTTGACTTTACTCGCTGAATCTGAGGGCATAGAGCAGCACGCTCATCCTCACTGAGGGGCCCGTAGCCCTCTACACCTTCTTCCCTCACTCAGGCTTGGCTTTCTGTAGGTTTTCTAGGTCATAGTTAACACAATGGTCTCACTTCTTTTGTGTGTGTGTGTGAAAATCTTTGTTATTGTCAACACAATGAGCTTTCTAAAATGAAGACAAGAAAAATAAATTTTACAAAATACACAAACAATAATTTATGGATTATGTATGTTTTTTTAGTTGCAGATGAATAAGACTGTGCTTAACAGTGAAATGAGGTACATAAGGAATTAATCCTCCATGGTACCCTTTGTGTTGCTATTAGTAATGCTTTGCTTTAGATTCTAATCTGCATTCAACTCCTACTTTTTCAATTTTCAAATTTCCTTTCTCAGCCTTCACTTAAATACACAATGTATAATACTTGTTTGAAAGTGAAACTGAAAGTCCTCAGTCATGTCCGACTCTTTGTGACCCCATGGACTATCCAGTCCATGGAATTCTCCAGACCAGAGGAATACTGGAGTGGGTAGCCTTTCCCTTCTCCAGGAGATTTTCCCAACCCAGGGATGGAACCCAGGTCTCCCGAATGGCAGGCAGATTCTTTACCAGCTAAGCCACAAAGGAAGCCCAAGAATAATGGAGTGGGTAGCCTATCCCTTCTCCAGCGGATCTTTCCGACCCAGGAATGGAACTGGTGTCTCCTGCATTGCAGGCACATTCTTTACCAACTGAGCTATCAGGGAAGCCCATAATACTTTTTTAGTTTCATGATTTTTTAAAAGCTTATAAACTATTCTTTGAAGACAATATTTATACGATGTTATACAAGTATTGCCATATAGCATCTAAGTAGTCCCACTTGTTTTGTAAGGCGGTTATTCTCAACGGAGAAAGGAAGCCAGATAGGCCACGCCCCCTCACTGCCACATTGCAGCATCTTGAGTCTCTTTCTGACATTCAGCGAGCAGCGCAAAGGTGCGCTCTGGTTCCGCCATACGGATCACTGAATCTCCTCCCCAGGTCCACAATGAAGGTCACCTAGATTGCTCTGTTCCTTGCTGCTGGTTTTACCTGTAGGCTGTGCCATTTGAGCCAGAGTTGTTTTTTAGGGCAGCTTTAAAGCACAGGAAGGCATCTCATTCTCCTCCTGGAGAAGCCCGCACTTTCTGAGAAAAACTGACTCGATGGCGATTTCTTACAGGCTTCCGACAAGGAGATCGTCTGGGTCATGCGCATCACGGTATTCGTGTTTGGAGCTTCTGCGATGACCATGGCCTTGCTGACGAAGACGGTGTATGGGCTCTGGTACCTGAGCTCTGACCTGGTCTACATCATCATCTTCCCGCAGTTGCTCTGCGTGCTCTTCATCAAGGGTACCAACACGTATGGGGCGGCGGCAGGTTACGTCTCGGGCCTTTTCCTGCGAGTCACTGGCGGGGAGCCCTACCTGAACCTGCAGCCTTTGATCTTTTACCCTGGCTATTACATTGATAAAGGTGGCATATATAACCAGAGATTCCCATTTAAAACTCTCGCCATGGTGACCTCATTCTTATCCAACATTTGCATCTCCTATCTAGCCAAATACCTGTTTGAAAGTGGAACCTTACCACCAAAATTGGATGTATTCGATGCTGTTGTCGCAAGGCACAGTGAGGAAAACATGGACAAGACGATTCTGGTTAGAAATGAAAACATTAAACTAGATGAACTCGCACCTGTGAAGCCACGGCAGAGCATAACTCTCAGCTCGACCTTCACCCATCAGGAGGCCCTCCTGGAAATGGATTCAAGTCCAGAGGGCTCTGGGACTGAGGATAATTTACAGTAACCACATCCGCATAAAACTCTGCTTTCTCAGAGCATTAGAGCAGACTAGTCCTGGAAGGGTGGTTTGCGGCTTATACAGTATATTTTTAAAAAAAGATAACAGTGAGGAGAACAAAAGTCCATAGAGTAGTTAACTTGCACAAATCCAAGACAAGTCAAAAGGAAGCACCCTTGAAGCAGCAGCTCTCTCTCCTTCACGGACACATCTCATCTTCATTTAATTTTGGCTCTCGGTAGTTTTGTTAAGTATTTGAACATGACTAAAATCCCACTCAAAAAACAGAAAGCCAAATAGAGTGTTCACCTTAATTATGGAAAAAGGAAGTTTAGGTATGAGAAAGCCAAGGAGTTTGAGTAGCCTTGAGCCTGACCTTGTTGGAGAATGCCCCGAGAGTCCAATTTAACTATCACACTGAAGTTATGAGAATAATTCCTGCCACTCCACTGGATCGTACAGTGAATTTGTCATCTGATTTGTCTGGTGTGATGAGTAATTTCTTCCTTCCTGTTAACTATAACATTTGCTGAATATGCAGTTTGTTTTTCTTTTACTGGTGATACGTGTTATTCTGAGCACAGGCAAAGCAAACAAAAAAAATATTGCGTAGCAGCAAACCTTGACATGCAAGATAATAGTAAGGTAGAGTGCATTGTGGTAGAGTATTCCTGGCTCCTTTGGATGTATCTAAAACTACCATGTGACTACCATATGCATTGGGGAAAGTATGTAAAGTGAGAAAGGCGTGATCATTAGGCAATTTGGCAGTGATAAATCAAGAAGGCCATTAAGTAGAAAGTGCCAGAAACAACAGTCAATTTTACCTTCATCTGAGGTTTGGAACATTTTGCTTCATGACAAAAATGTCATCTCTTGATGGTCTATTTGTATTGGAAGTGAAATTGAGCCACTTATAAGGTGAGGTAGCTACACGGCCTATCAAAGTGAGAGACAAACCACACTACTGATAGTGGTAAAATTAGAAAAGCAAAACCACTCAATTTTGAATGTTTGTTAATGAGGATAGTTGAGTGTCAAGAGAGCTACTGTGCAGCACATTTTTGCAGAAGCCAGTCTTAGGTACTAGACAAATCACTACTACAAATGGTATACAGTGAATTTTAAAGTGCAGAAGAAAGGAGAAAGTAAAAATGCATCCTAAAGGAAAGAAGCCATCAATTTTAACATTTGGTATCTACATAACTTTCATGAGGTTAGTCATTGAATATTGTTTTACTCCTTTTCTGGAGTTAAAAAAATTATGTGTATATTTATACATTATGGTTTGTATCCATTCTAGAATTTTAAATGTTTTTCCACCAGTCACACAGTAGAAATAACTGGAGCTACCTCTGCAAAAGCAGAATGAGCTAATCAGCTGAAAAGTTATCTGAACATTTCATCCAATAAAGAAAAACAGTCTGAGTCATTCAAACTAACACACTTATTACAAAAAAAAAAAATTCTTTTTTTTGCAATTCATAGACAAAGTGAAGTGTCAACTTTAAGTCCCAAAGTTGTGTTTAGGAAGCTAGAATTCCTTGTTTATTGTAACTGTCTAAAGTCAACAAATAATAATCTCCTTTGTTATTAAGTGAAGTGAAAGTCAGTCAGTTACATCCAACTCTTTGCGACCCCATGGACTACAGTCCACCAGGTTCCTCTATCCATGGGATTTCCCAAGCAAGAATACTGGAGCAGGTTGCTGTTTCCTTCTCCATGTTATTAAACATGAATTTAACTTACAGGGTAATTCTTAAATATGAAAATAAGTCATTTTATTTGTCATTCCCATATTTTAATTGTCATTCCCATATTTCCAGTCCATGGGGTCACAAAGAATTGGACATGACTGAGTGATTAACACATTCACCTTCACCCATATTTTTAATGATTTATCCAAGCATGATGGTGAATAAGACATTGCATTCAGAACTTTTACAAAACATCAAATATAACCTAAATGAAAAAAGAATTATTTTTACTCATCTATCTGCTCAGCATCTGCTCTATGTTCACTGTTCTATGGAGTGCTTGAAAAGAAGCACATTTTGGGGACCAGTAAGTGTGGGAGTCCCAAAGTTCTTGTACATGGGTTGAGAGAAGAACCTGAAAGAGGCCACACATTTTTTAAAAACTACAAAGGTGGGAACTTCTAACATGTAAAGGTAATTAACTGACGAACTGCAGCTCCTTGCAAGTATGATACTTCACATGAGCCTCTTTCCAGCACTCTGTGTGAATAATTATTTTCACCCATTTCATCACTATTAATTTTTGTTTCAACCCCTTTAGGCAGTCTTCCGTAGAAACACATTACCCATGTTATAGTAGCATGAAATAGAGAAGTAGTGTCTCTACTTAATATTATATTTTACAATTTTGTTGGATAACAGTAGTCCAATGACTATATTTAAATCCAGTGAAAAGGAATAAATACGAATAGTGAAATTTTCTCCCATTCCATTTATTTTGTAATAGTAGAAAAATAAAGTGGCAAAAGCATTCGCCTTGTCCCAAATGTTAAAAACAAGAAAGCTTAAATACTTTAAGCTAATAAATAATACTCTGTTTTTATTTAACTTACTATTTCTTTCCTACTCTCAAACCAGATATACATAAAAACTAGATAAGTGTAAAATACACCTGTAAATGTTTAAATATTAGCAAGATGATTCTTTTAAAAGGACACAAAAAGTTGAGTATCCAAAGGAATGAAACAGCAGTTATAATGTCTTTATTTAGGCTCATTTACACACAAACTCCCCAATTTCCAAGGAAGAAACTAATTTGAGAGATGTGGTAGACAATGCATTATGCTCATCACTTGCTTTCTCTTGACATCATGGGAAGCATTCACAGCTTTGCAAACTTCTGTTTTTCCTTGGTGGACCTAATTTTCAGAAACCCATGCAGAATGAAAATAAAACAGCAACATCTCAAACACCACTGTATCACTCTTTGGAGGTGATATCTGTGGGCAAAGCGTAAGAATAAAACACAGATTTTATTTTCATACTTTTACAAAGAGTGTAACGTGTTTCTTGTGTCATTTTCATGTTTCTTTTCATACATAATTTTCAAAATAGCAAGCTCATAGCTGAACTGAAATGTCAGGAACAAACTTCCAAACAGTGTTAAAAGCCAGCTTCATTGCCAATCTTATAAGTAATGAATTTGATGTGAATATCAAATGAATGTAAGCTTGAAATGAGTGAATCTTACGTAATGGCTGTTAGCTTTTTTTTTTTTTAATAATGAGCTAGCATTGTATTTTAAACATGAATGTGGCTTTTTCTTTTTAGCCTTTAAGAAAATGTACTCTAGTATAATGTATAATTTATTGTAAGTTTGCTACGGAGCAGATAGAGACATATAATAGTTCTAAGTGTATATTTTTGTTTGTCAAAGTATTATATAAACTGTGCTTAAAATAAGTAGATTTGCAACTGTTGTAAATGTTTTAGGTGTAATGACATCATATTAAATTGTGCTGGTGCAATTCAGGCTATTACGACTAGGTTTGGCTTTGAGGGGCCTCTCTTAAGAGGAATATAGAGGGTGCGTCCTTGCAGCAACATGGATGGACCTGGAGATTGTTGTGCTGTGTGAAGAAAGTCAAAGAAAGAGAAAGATAAAAATGAACTTATTTACAAAACAGAACAGACTCACAGACATAGATAATCTATGCATGGTTACCAGAGTGGAAGAATGGGGGGATGGGATAATTAGGGCATTTGGGATCAATTTGTGCATATTGCTCTATTTAAAATGGACCACTGTATAGCCCAGGGATCTCTGCTCAATGTTATGTGGCAGTCTGGAGGGAGAGAGGTTTGAGGGAGAATGAATATATGTATATGTATGGCTGAGTCCCTTTGCTGTTCATCTGAAACTATCAATTGGGAATACTCCAATATAAAATAAAAAGTTTTAAGAAAAAAGTTATGCACTGAAACTGAAATAAACCATCTTGTTACCAGAACACATGAAAACACTTAATGGAAATATAACACCAGGCATAAATCTTGGGGCAATACATGATATCATAGCTCAAAAAACAAATGAGAACAATTTTTCTTGGAAAAGAAGTTCTATCACTGTACACAGCTCTTTCTTTAAACCAAAGAAATCAATAGACATTATATCTATTCCATTAATATCAAGAAGATCTGCTTTTTAAAAACCATGATAACATTCTGCTCATTGGTGATTTAGGATATGCAGCCAATCGTTAGATGTTGAACTGGTTCTCTTTGTGCTCCAAGGGTATACTTCGTATTTCTTATCTCAGGGGCTCCTCAGGGGTCTTTGTTGTTTTTGTTTAGTCACTCAGTCATGTCCAACTGTTTTCAAACCCATAAACTACAGCCCACCAGGCTCCTCTGTCCATGGGATTCTCCAGGCAAGAATACTGGAGTGGGTAGCCATTTCCTCCACCAGGGCATCTTCCCAACCCAGGTATCTAACCAGCTTGTCCTGCATTGCAGGCGGATTCTTTACCACTGAGCCACCAGGGAAGCTTCCTCAGAAGAACCTAAGTCCCTTCCACCTTAATCACTACATATGTATACAAGGAGTAGGGGGCTCAGTAAGCTTGAGGATGAAGGAAGAAAGAGATAAGTAGTTTGGGCAGGAAATATCACATCAGTTTGTCTGCCATACGCACACATTTCTGGAGAACACATATATTTGCTTTATCACAAATCTATAGTATCAGGGAAATTATTAAGAGCCAGAAAGGAGAATTGAGAATATGATATTGGAGCTGGTGTATGCTTTCTTCATTTCGACCATTGTATTGAGAGAGTTTACTCTGACCATTAGCATTCTCCCAAGACAGATACTGTGAGAGAAATCCAGAGAGCTACAGAGAGCTGATAAATGATTATTTCTTCCTTTTTTATACAATCATCTAAAAAAAATCTCCAGGAACTTCCCTGGAAGTTCAGTGGTTAAGACTCCATGCCTCCACTGCAGGGGTGTGGTTTCCATCCTTGGTC